CCTGAGCTGAAGGCAGACACTTAACCAACTGAGCCACCTTGGTGGCCCAGCTCCTTGACAATATGAATGCCATCCTAACCATAACACAGCCATGGACATAACTCTCTAGACAACCCACCTATTATTTGCTTAAAAGCTAATACAAATATTTTGGGGTTGCTTGTTTTAATTCCTGCTAATAACTGAAAATTAACTGTGTGGCCTGCGTAGGAGTCAGTTTCTAGAATCCTTGAGGAACAAAGATGCTAAGAAAGCAAATCATTTACTTTGGTGGTTCTCAACCAGGAGTGATTTTGTCCCCAAGGGACATTCAGCAATGTGTGGAGACATTTTCTTTCTTTTTTTAAATTGTGTTAAAATAAAGATAACATACAATTTACCATTTTTAGGTGCTGAGTTCAGTCGTATCAAGTACATTTACATTGTTGTGCAAACAATTTCCAGATTTTTCATCTTGAAAAAATGGAACTCTATAACCATTAAATAACTTCCTATTCTCTTCTTCTCCCTCCCCAGCCTCTGGGGAAATATTCTATTTTCCATCTCTATGAGTTTGACTACGCTAGGTATCTCACAGAAGTGGAATTATACAATGTTTGTCTTTTGGCTGACTGATTTATTTCATTTCCCATGATGTCCTCTAGGTTCATCTATGTTGTAGCATGTAACAGGATTTTCTTCTTTTTAAAACTGAATGATAATCCACTGTACGTATACACCACATCTTGTTTATCCATTCATCCATTGATGGACATTTGGGTTGCTTCCACCTTTTAGCTATTGGGACTAATGCTGCTATGAACATGGGTGTGCTCATATCTTCCTGAGGCCTTGCTAAGGCCCTGCTTTCAATTCTTTTGGGTATAAGCCCTAAAGTAGAATTGCTGGATTATATGGTAGTTCCATGTGTAACATTTTTTAAAAAAGATTTTATTTGTCAGAGAGCGAGTGAGCGCACAAGCAGGAGGAAGTGGCAGGCAGAGCTCGATGTAGGACTCGATCCAAGGGTCCCGGGATCATGCCCTGAGCCGAAGGCAGATACTTCACTGACTGGGCCACCCAGGGGCCCCTATGTATGCATTTTTTGAGAAACTGCTGTGCTCTTTTCCACAGAGGACACACCATTTTACATTCCCACCCACAGTACACAGAGGCTCCAATTTCTTCGCTTCCTCACCCACCCCGGTTATTTTATTTTATTTTATTTTTTTGATAGTGGCCATCCTAATGGGCATGATGCATGGAGAGATTTTTGGCGGTCACAACCCAGGGGGAGGAGAGCTACTGGCATCTAGTGCACAGAGAGGTCAGCGATGTTGCTGAACATCCTACAAGGCACGGGACAGTCCTCCGCCACCAACAATGAACTGGTCCCAAACATCAATAGTGCTGAGGTTGAAAAACCCCGATTGACACAATCAAGTTCACCCTTCATAGTAAACCTCATCCCCTGACATGTGTAGCCTGTCTGCTTTGTTGAAGATGCTCAAAGGCAACAATTTCAAGAAACCTGCAAAGGGAGGGAGGACTGAGAAGATTGGCAACACTTCTTTTATTCAAATTTTATTGGAATTTTACAAATGTATTACAGACATCAGTAAAACATATCCATTTTACAGGGCACGGATCTCAAGCAAAGTGTTCACAACAGTCTCTGGCAGAGCCCACACCAAAGGCCTGTTGCAGACCTTCTTTACAAATAGCTTGACACTCGACACACAACACAGAGTCTGGCCTGCCTCACCTTCTCAGACCCTCTGAGGTTTTGTTTATGCACTTGGAGTTAAAGCAGGAGATGGGCAAAGCAATCCTGTACAGGAAAGAATGTGTTTAGGAGAGGGAAGACTGCCAAAGTCCTAATTTGCTAAGGAAAATGAAGGACTCTTAGACCTTAGAATGTTAAGTCAGGGTCCATCGTAGAACCAAAATGCTTTATGGAAACACAAGAATATCGACTAGAGAGGCTGGAGAGCAGAACTTACTAGTGGGTAACTCTCTCCAAAAAAATTTAAAAAGGCGGGACAGTGACCTGTTGAACACGAATGGCCAAATGCCCAGTAGGGTGAAGGGATATCTCCAAAAACTCTCAGGATAGAACAATTTTTTTTTCTATCCTACAGATTCATCGTATTTAAATCACCAGAAATGTTTTCCTACACGATGCGACTTTCCTCCCTCCTTTTTTATTCCCCTTGGGGAAATCTAGTTTTGTCAGCAGGAAGTAAGCTTATAAAAGAGTATACCTCCCAATAGTGAGTCATGGTTTATGGCAGTCTTGTGTTGACTGGGCTACTATTATGAGAAAATGGAAAAGGAATCCAATCCTTTCTTGGTCCTAACCTTGACAACTGCTTCCAAGTGGTCAGACAGACGAGCTCTGGTGTCTGCTGACGGCCCGAAGGGGCCAAGCACTGGATGCAAGGCAAAGCTGTCTTCATTTCTACTTCCCTTGTGCTTCGAGAGATGGACCTCAAAAGGCGGCAACCTGAAAGTGCCTTCAGAATCAGGAGAGGAGGCTTCGCTGAGTCCTGCAGCTGGAAGGCTGTCCATAGACCCCATTTCAAAGCCTTGAAGGTGCCTAAACAGTTGCTAATAGCAACTCTTCTGACATGAAATATTCAGATAACTGGTTTCATTTCCCACTTTGGTCAGAGATAGATCCTCCTTCTTAGGCGTTAGCATCTGGTTTCTGTTAGACAGAAATACACACAGAGCACTTCTCCTTGGAATTCAAATATTTGTGTTATTTCTGGTTAGAAGGTGGGATTAGACGAAGAGTAAGATGGCCTCTTATCTGACCTCTGCAAAAGGATGAACAGAAGGCTGTGTGTAATAATTGGCCAAGAACATGGGAATGCAAAAGGAGGCCAAAGAGATTTGTCTTTGTTTTAAAGAAGTCAGCCTCCACTTTTAGCATCCACAAAGGAATTGGGCTCTCACAGTCATTTATGAATGAGGCTTCCTAAAACGTTGGTATACTGTTTTGGGCCCATGGCAAATGATGGAAAGATAAAAATCAGTTCACAAATGAGACTTGTTATCAAATGACCTCAGTTCTAATCGACTCATCCTGGCAGCGTGGAGCGTCATAAAGCTTTCTGAGGCTGCATCCATGCTCCCCAGGAAAGCGTAGAGCCATCCATTGGTTTTATGGGCCGGGTTGCAGGGATGGTAGAGCATGTGCTACATCTATGTCATCACCGGCTGCACCTGAACTCAGCAATGGCGAGGGGTACCCAAGAAGTGGAAAGCCACTGCGGGAGAAGGAAATACAGTCTGTTGCAGTGCAAAAGCATCCTACAGAATGGAAAAAGAGGATGCGCATGAGCTGTCTTCTGGTCCCCTACTGGAAAGACAAAATTGCTTGTTCACCGGGCTGGCTGAGGACAGAACGGAAGCACTAGAGATGAGAAGGTGAATGCGGAAAGGAGGCATCAAACAACCACCAATAGGAACTCTACCCACCTTGCACCTGGTCCTGCTTTCCCTTACCTCATTCACCTTCACACTTGATAGAGATCCTGGAACTACACGACAGAAGGAAGGGGACCTGAATGCCACACTCCATGCCACCAGGCTGCTAAGAAAGCTGTTCACAGTATCAAGGGTTGCATGTATTGGCAGGGCCATTCAGGAAACCGTCAAGGGCTACTTCTTCCTGGGAAAGAGTGCATTCTGTTGCCACTGAATTGAGCAGCGGTAGGAAATGACCTGAAGTCCCAAGTGGTGGTTTTAACCAAAAGACAAGAAGACCAATATGAAGAGAGGTAGGAAAAGCAAACCCAAGGTATTAGAGATGAGGAAACTAGGAAAAGATTACTTTTCTAGAACAGTCTATCGAAGATGAAATGAAATCTAGGAAGAGGTGAGTGTAAGCCCCACTCACAGGCAAAACTTCTTCACCAGGAAGAGCTCGTGGTTATGATGGAGGAATCGGGTGAGGACCCTAAGTTCTTGCCTCAGAAGAGAACGCATTGAGTTTCTGGGACTGGGATTCCATGATGTTAGGTGTAAGTTATCACAAACGGGTAGAACTCCTCTCCAGGGCATTCACTTGGAGGTCCCATCACCTTTGTGATGATTTTACCAGCCTCCTGGGCATCATCTGTAAGGTGCCTGGCTGCATGTGGGGTGGGGAGAAGCCGAGATGGTACACACGGAGATGAACTTGGTTATAGACAGTGTGACCCTGAGGCTTGCATCTCAATATATTTCAAGCTCTGGCCAGTTGAGCTGCTGGATGCTCCCTGGGCAGCTAGCTCTGAAGTCACTTATTCCTCCCACCCTTTCACAGGATGTGGCTACGGGTCGATTTCCGGCCACCCTCTTCTTTCTGCTGATGGTGGCTCAAGCCTCGTCTGGGGAAAGTAAGAGGTACTTTTGGAAAGGATGGAGTTAGAAAGCAGCTTTTACCAGGAGAATTTCTTTCATTGGATTCCAGGCCACAGAGGACAGACATGATTTTCAGTTGTTTGTTATGTTAAGCGATCTACTTTTGTCTCTCTTTTCTTTTTCCCAAATGCCTTTTTATTCTTATCAGTCAAGGAACTCAAAACTCCAAATTGGACTCGCCCGATTTCTACCAGAAACCTGCCACTTCAGTAGCATGGTGTTGCACATTATTTCTTAATCAGTTTTGCCAAGCAGTTTACAAACTTACTATACAAACGTAATAGAGTTAATTCTCCGGAGGCTTGGATAATTAATGAAGCATTTAGATATGAAGATAGCATGCGGAAAACAGCCACAACCAACATTTGCATTGCTTTTTTAAAAAATCAGTGACAATGACAAATGTCATATTAATACCTGAAAAGCAAATTATTTTAATACATCCTGAATGGAGTGCCATTTCCACGACCTTTACAGCCTTCTTTTCCCCAGACCCATTTGGGATGGTGTCTGAAAAGCCACTTTTCACATTCTCTCCATAAAAAAAATACTAGAAAATATTAACTACTATACTGAAAAGAGACCACGCTCACCTCACCATGGCAGATGGGCACTGAGATACACCGTGTACTACATCAACAGTACATCTCACTAAAGGTGGGTCCTCCGATGGATTATTTCAACTGCCACAATCCATTAAAGGGAGGAGGAGAATGGAAGAAAAAGCCAGCGCTTCATTTTGAACTGAAGCAAGGTAGGAAGTTTTATTTTACTATAAACAACACAACCGTTAAATGTCTTCTTCAAGCAAACTCACTTTTGAGCCCATTTTCTGTCTGACCAACAGTCCCCAAAGTTCAACACGAAAATCCCCCTCTGAACAGCATTTGTTTTTCAAGGCCATCACCCTGAAATCTCCCGAGCAGCTCCTGTTCCTGGGTAACCCAGACACTCTGGTTACGGGGTGTGTTAAACTGGATTCTTTCCACAAGCACTGGGGAGGGGGGAGGGGTATTCAAGGTAGTGGTCACCTCCACTCTACTTCATTTCCAGAAGCTCTCTTTGCTCTGACCGTCCTTCATATTCCCCTTCAGTCTCCACCCTTGACTTGCTTTCTGCTTTTCGAATTCCCTTGTTCCTTCTCCACGCATGACGTACGATCTAGAACACCCCGTCACTCCCAGAGCCCCACAGAACCTTCTGCCCCTACATGTGTACTGCTTAAGTTCATTTGCACTGAGGACAACCGGTTGTCAGGCTAAGGCAGCTGTTCTGTCTGCCTTGGTAAAGGAAAGCAGATAATATAATCCAGGAAACATGAGCACCAGAAAATAATGCCACATTCAAAACAACGTCATGCTGACATCACACGACGGGTACCACTCACAGTCACTTTCATTTTCCCCAAGGGACAGATCAATAGCAAGCAACTTCAATGTTCCCAGCAGGGATGGCGTTGCTCACGGGACTTTACGGACACTGGTTGGTTTCTCTAATTGGCAAAAGTTACGTTTGCAATTAAAAAAAAATTACTATCACTTTGTAGAGAAGAAATTCTACTGAGGGTGGGAGCAGACTTAAGGATGTCTCCTTAAGATGGAATGGAGCATAAAATACTTTGGGTGTAATAGTTCATTTTTTTTTTCAGCCACAAAAAGTCAAATTGAATAAACTCCTTTGAAAAAGGTCTCACTGACATGTAACAAATTTGTATAGAAAAAAGGAAAAAAAAAAAAAAAGGTGATCCTGGATCACCTCTGAATACTACTCAAGGACAATGCTGGATGTGCATGCAAGTCTTCACTGAGTCCTACGATATAGAAATTCCTTTGATATTACAAAATACAAAAATATTTTATCAGAACTCTCATTTACATTGCATTTACAATGGACATGTAAATAACTTAGTCTTGGGTCCTGGCTAATAAACAAATTACTTACTGGAAAAAGGGTCCTAAAAGTAAGAGAACCAGAGAGGATATAAGCGAGCGGGAAACAGTTTGCCATCTTGCGAAAGGCGACTCCACACAGACTGACGGGAAGGAAGGGGCCAACCCTGGCCTCCACAGAGTCTACAGCGTTTCCAAAGTGAAATGTGCAAATAATACTCAACATGCCGATAACTGGGACTACCTATTGAGTCAGTCTAGAACCTTGCCTCCACAACTGGCACCATGTTCCTCTTCTCCTCCAGCAACCACCCCCGGAAAGCGCTTTAAAACTGAAAACAGTGCAAGTTTCTGGATGTACATTCTTAGCTCCCATCTTCCCCCATTCCCTGACCCCAATCGTATTAAGAGATGATACAGTTTTTGCTCTTTTGTCTTTTCCTGCTGTGCAACTGTCCCCGGCCCCCTAACGTGGAAGACTTGGGGAGGCCATAGGAGCTGTATTTGTGCAACAGCTCATCGCTTGTGACGTATCGCAGGCGGGCGGGCTGGGGGATGGGCTCTCCTAGGAAATAGCCCTCATTGTCAGACTCCGAAGAGGACGAGCAGGTGGAACACCAATCATACTCGGTGAAGTAGGGTCCCCACCGCTCCCCAAAGGCATTCTGCAGAGCCAGGTCCGACACCGTTCTCGGGCACTGGCCGTACAGGTCCCTTCGGGACCCTTGGCCCAAGCTCTCCTGGAAGCTCCGCTGGCGCATGAACTGGTCGTAGTCCTCCCTGGCTCGGAGCGGGGCCCTTTCTTTCAACCGAGAGATGGCCTCGCGCTCGCTGGCCAGGTGGAGGGCGTTGTCCGAGCGAGAGCGCCGGGAACGCCTGGAGCGGTGGGGTCGGAAGCGGCGAGCGTCGTCGCGGGAGGTACTTCTCCTCCGCGTGCGTTCACTCATGGGCTGGATCCTCATGCCCTCCTGCCCTGGCAGCTTGCTGCCCGCCATCCCCCCCTCGAAATCAAAGCTCTGGTGCAGCCTGCCGTGGGACTGCAGGTCCCTGTACCCAATGGGGTTGCCGAGCTGGTGGAGGTTTCCCTCCATCTCCTGGTACTGCTGGGCAGAGAGCAGGCTGCGAACCGACTCTGCGCTCCGGAACTGCATGGACGAGTTAAGCGTGCCCATGTTGCTCAGCTTCTCGGAGACATTCATTCCAGAGTCTTTGCTGAGGTCGGGCATGGAAAACCGGGAGAGGTGCTCCTGGCGCTTGGCGCCACCATCGGCGGACAGGCCTGGGGGGAGAGAGGGAAGAGAGGACCATGGACATTAATACAAACGTGCAGTCTTGTTCATCGGAACCGCCGTCTATCCAGGATCGCTGCATACGGTTGTGCAGTTGTACATTGCACAAAGGCGCTCTCAGAATGTTTGGGAGAGCTCTCCCCGCTCCACAAGGGGGGTAGTGCCCACCTAGAGAGGATACGTGGTTAAAATGCATCCACGGGGGTACATTTTACTAGTTACTAATTCCTCCAAAGGCTCATCGAGGTCACTAGGAGCCCATTGTGCATCTTACCCATGCTTCCTCTGTTTAGAATTTCACTTTACAAAGTGCGTCAATTACCCCTTTGATCTAATGCTGCACTGTTAAGTACAGGGGACACATATTCTGGATGTGGAAGGTTTCAGCGACAGCCGCTGGGCCATGCCCAAGCAGTTCCTACCAACACTGAGCCTCACATCTAATCCCATGATACCACACCAACTCACTTTCCTGTTAGCCTCCAGCACCTTCCCCCTGTGCCTGTAGTCCCTAAGCCCCATAGCCCAAATGTCTGTAACACTAAGTGACTCCCTGGGTGTACATAGAGGGATATTTACTCTCTCAGGCTCTTCAGTAAATGACTGCTCCAGGGTTTTAAATGGGCCCCTAACAGCCAGAAGATGTGAGTGGGACTCTGGGACACTCCTTCTTCCCCAAGGGAGGCACTTTTTTTAAAACAACACCATGACCAGCGGGTATCTCTAGCAATGGACCTGCAGTCCCTAGGTGCCATCACTGGCACCACTGAAATAAGCCATTCTGCAGGAAGTGGGAGATGCTTGACTTGAGTAACTTCCATGCTGCCCATCCTAAAGCAGCACTCTCGAAAGAGAGGCTTAAGAATGGCCCAGGTGGTAAAATCTCAGCATTTGCACTCATTACCTGTCGGAAGATGAGCAACTTTGCCATTGCTGGTTGCAGAAAACATGTCTTTGAATTGCAATGGCCCATTATGACCCCTGCCACTGATTATTCATCACTCCCTGCTGGGGCCAACAACTCCACTCCCCTGACAAAACTAATGTTCTGAACACTTGAAAAACTACTTAGCAGTATCTATTTAAGCTAAATACACACACACACACACGAATTATCAACGAAGCTGCTTTGAAAATCTGTGTCCTTGTGTGTGTGTGTGTGTGTGTATAGACTTATGTGTTAATTCTATTGGGTGTACAGAGTGGCGATTCTATGATTTTCCATTGCTACTCTTGATTATACACCAAACAGAAATCAGTTTATAGGTCCAAAAAATGTACAGGGGTATTTGGAGAAGCTTTCTTTATAGTAGCTTAGAACTAGAAATAACTCAAATGTCAATTAATAGGAAAAAGGATCAATAAATTGTATTTTATACCATTCTCCCTTAAAAGGAATTAGGAGTCTGGAGAGAGGGCTGATTCCAGGACAGGAGGAGGGAATGTAAGATCTGAGCCTGGAACATCTTGCTATGCCAAAGAGGAAGGAAGTGTTACAAATGAAAAATGAGGGACTCTCACTCGCCAAAGCTGAGCAACTTGAGCATCAAAACATTAAAAACAGTAATGATTTATAAACCATTGAAAAAGGAGGAAATCATGAGTCCATACCTATATCAGATAAACACACCAATAGCTAAATGGGGGAGAAGACTGGGCTCTTGTATACAGTAGGATGTTGAGCAGAATGAGTATGCATAGAAGGGGTGCTGGATTGGAAGACCACCATTTTGTAACCACTGTACATAAAGATCGATTCATGCAAGAGTCAACTTATGCTCAAGTCAGGGGGGTAAAATTTGATGCGGGAGCAGGGTATTTGCACGGTGGTTAAGTGTTTTTCCACGTATTAGTTTGTAAGGAAAAATTTAGTAGCTACACAATGGAGAAATCAGACAGCACTTTGACCAGCAGAACAAACTTAACATCATCGATGAGGCGTAACTGGACATCGCATGCCTCCCAACGTAGGTCCTGAGAAGGACACACTATCACTCATGCAGTGTTCCAGTCAGGAACATTTCCTGAATGGATTCAGAAGGAAACATGAGATAAACTCCCAAATGATGAAAATTCTATTAAAAAAAAAAAGGGACTATATCTTAAAACATTTTTTTTCCAGTATCATAAGTCTGAGGGAGCGTTCTACACTGAAGAACATGAAGGAACCATGGCAACAATATAGAATACCTGATCCCTCTGGAACTTATTCTCTAGTGAGAATGTTATAGAGCATAACTGTGGAACGACTGACAAAAATTGGGACATGGGCAATTAATAACCATATTATGCCAAATCTACTGTGGTAATTTTGATAATGGTGGTAATTATGATAATGTTGGAGAAGATCCTTCCTCTTGGGAAATACACAGGGAAGGATATGGTACTACATGGCTGAGCTGGATGTGACTTCCTCTCAAATCATTCAGAAATACATTGCATGTGTGTGTGTGTGTGTGTGTGTGTGCAAGAGAGAACCAACGATAAACTAATGGGATAAACTGTTAACCAGAGGTGAATCTGGGTAAAGAGGACATTCTGGGTATTGTTTGTTCCATTTTTGCAACATTTCAGTAAGTTTGAAATTACTGCCAAATAAAAAGTTTCCCCAAAACTGTAGTGTGTGCATATACAATGGTTTGGTTTTCCATGCCCAAGGAAGTTACTGGGGCTGGGGGGTGGGTGGTGTATGCTATTGGCGTCTAATGGGCAGAGGCCAGGGAGATGTTGCTGCACACATGGGGCAGACCCCACAACAAAAAATTATGCACCCCCAGAGGTCAGTCATGCTGCAGCTGAGAAACCATCATATGGTGGAATTCCACACAATGACGAGAATGAATGACACCAGGCAACAGGGATGAATGTCATAGAAAATGCTGGCAGACACAAGAGGGTACGTGCTGTGTGAGCCCATTTACATGAAGTTCAAGAGCAGCCTGAGGCCGTCTATGGTGGCAGAGATCAGGGCAGTGGGAAGGGACCTCAGGGAAACTTCAAGGGTGCCAGAGATGTTCTTTTTTTTTTTTTTTAAAGATTTTATTTATTTATTTGACAGAGAGAGAGATAGCGAGAGCAGGAACACAAGCAGGGGGAGTGGGAGAGGGAGAAGCAGGCTTCCCACCGAGCAGGGAGCCCGATGTGGGACTCGATCCCAGGACCCCGGGATCATGACCTGAGCCGAAGGCAGACGCTTAACGACTGAGCCACCCAGGCGCCCCAGAGATGTTCTATATCTAGACCTGGGTGATGGTTATAAAAGGATACACACGGAAAAATTTCTTGAGGTGCAGTTTTAATATTTTGCTTGCTTTACCTCATATGTAAGCTATACCTCAATAACATGGCATAAAAATAAAGCAGTGCTCTCACTAAAGAGCCAAATTTAAACGCTGGCTATGCCTGTGGAGAAACTATTCTGCCAACCACAATACTTTCATCTAGATTTTTTAATTCCATTACCGGGGTAATTGTCAGGGCAGTTGGGGATGAGGTCTTTAATTCCCCCTTTCCCTGCTGCTTATCTCTGACACACACATCATAAAACCTGATTTACAACAGCCTAATCACTTCCAGAACCTCCCCAACCTGAAGTCGGAGAGTGGTAAAATCTCAGCATTTGCACTCATTACCTGTCGGAAGATGAGCAACTTTGCCATTGCTGGTTGCAGAAAACATGTCTTTGAATTGCAATGG